AATTAAGACGAAAAGATGCAATGCTAGGAGAGAAGTACAGAGGAAAGTAAGAAGGGCTTCTCTGTGCTTAAGAAGAAAGAATATTACAAGCAGATCAAAGATTTAAAAGCAAGCAGGCAGTAAGGCAATACCAGGTGCTGTTTCTTAGAAGAGCCATCAGTGTGCATTGAGGGTTCTGCCTTGTCGCAGTGATGTTCACAGTATTGGTACCACTGGGGTTCTGGGTGCATGTTGACACTATAATCAGCCCTGACACTGCTGTAGGCTAAATGCATTAATGTTGTATTATACAGTCAAGCATGACACTACTACCGGAAACTTGCTATCTGCATTAACTATCCCCTAAAAGTATTCAGCTTAAGAAAGGTATTTTAGAGGCACAGTTAATCTTATAAACCTTGCAGTTCTAACCCTCATTTTGACCAATAGAGAACTGAGACCCAAAACAACAAAATAGTTCATTTCACCGCAACCACCCAATTCTGTGATGCTGGTTATCACTGAAGAAGATCCTTCCAAGAAGTGAGAGGACAACCCAGATATCACCTCTCAGTAAGGACACATTCTCCCCAAGATCTCTCGTCAGGGGTGAGCCTCTGTCCTCTAAGCAGGACATCGTGAGCTTTGATGACCCAACTTTTACTACTTACTCCACTGGGAAGGTGACCGTGGCATTTGTCCAGGTTAGGGTACTCTGTCAATCCAGGGGTCACTCTTGACAGTTGACATTAATCTGAGCAAGCCAAGATGAATGATCATGTTAACACTGCACTTGATTCTCCAAAAAATAAAGACATGTTCATAGGTTTTCAGTAAGTCATGAATTATAGCTGCTCCTCGAGAGTGAGCCTTGGAAGGGTTACCCCTCATAGGGCTATGAGCCCTGCTCTTGCCATGTCCCTCTCATGTGACTGTAGAATGCAAGTCATATCTGGTCCCATATTCACCTACAAATATGGTCAGATGACCTGATCTAAGAACTAGGCATCTTTTTCTCACTAAAAAGTTGCCTCAGGTAAAGGTATGCAGTGCCTGTCTTGAGAAAGTTCTGGGTGTCCCAAGTGTTGTCAACAAACTACCTCTTTGCTAGTGGAATATTTGCTGGCCTTGATTTTCCTAAGAGAAACAGTAAGTCACCTGATTGGCTACTGTAATAGCTACCACCTTAAATTCACCCATTTGAACACAAAAATGTGTAAAAACAGATATATAAGGGAAATTAATTTGTACAAGTAAAGTGAAATCACAAAACTGAGATAGTCATGGTGTTACATGCTACTGTCCTGTCACTGGGGGACATTTAAGGGTCCAAGGCAGAAAACAAATGAGATTTGAGGGTGAGTTTGGCCAGACCATGGCACCTCAGTTTTCATGAAACCTTCGTGAGCACAAGAAATTTAACTTGTATTTAGACAGATTGCTCTGACTTGTGTGGAAGGGCTGACACTTTTGCTGATAGCAAGCTAAACATATATGAACCTGCTTGCATTGTAGTCAACTCTAACACTAAACAGAGAACCATGAAGACTGTGTCTGCCTTTCTTTTCTGTCAGTCTTCACTTTATTGTCTCAAGGAGGGTGGTCTCCATTGATGATGTTATCTCAAGCCCTGGATTATCAGAAACCTTCATGTAATTTCTTTGTTTCCCATCATTTTCCCACTGACTCAGTAGTGTCTCTGACAACACATGCAGAAAAGATTTTTTAGGACAGTAAAATATATGTGATTTGGGTAACTCTTTCAGTAGCAGTAGCTGAGAGTGAGCTCACTGCAGTTCACTTATTGTTCTTCCTGGAAAATCAATTCAGCTTTAAATATTGAGTTTTTGTATAGTGATTGGAAAGTGGATATTAGGGGTTATTATGTTGCCTGCCTAATATTGAGCTCCTAAGACTCACCACTGTGGCACATCATTTAAGCTTTGAAAACTGCCTTTTCCTCAAATATAGGAGAATTGAATATAATGAAGAAAAATTAAAAGAGATAGCCCAATCAAAAAGTTCATATTACCATTCTATCAGAGAAAATTTAATTTAATGTTTAAAATAAACAACATAAGTTATATTGTTATTAATATTGAATGGACTATTAATTAAAAGCAGAAAAATGTCTAAAAGCAAAAAAATGAAACCCTAGTTGAATATAAGTAGACAAACTACAGTTTTATACTATTTATTATAATAGTTATTTCATGAAATATTTCTTGAAGATGTCAACATTTTACACTCTATTGAAAGTGAAAAATACATATGACTATGCTTCTACTAACAGTCACAGGGGCAAGTTTAATGTCAATAACACATGATGCTTATATATCAGTAGTACCCAACAACCTTAACTTAGAGGGTTGTCATGAATATTAACTGTGGATTTATGCAAGATTTAAAAGTGGCACATAGTAGGAAGCATTATATAAATTCTTATTAATAAAGATACTTTATATTATATTTAATTCTATAACAAGATAGGAAGAACTCTAGATGAAAAAATGAACAATAGAAATGTCAATGAAAATTATTAAAGCTAAGGTCAAAGCCATTATCCCAAGCATGGAGTTGAAATGAGTTGATAAAATTCATTCATAAAATTCCAGATGACAAAGTACACAGTGAAAGACTGAATTTAGAAGTGAGTTAAGCAGTAACAGAATGAAGATGTTATTGTTATATTTGTTAGCATTACATTGTTTGGGAATGACAAATATAGGTCATTTTTCAGTTGTCAGCCAATCTTATAGTGAGATGTATAGTAGTTTGCTGACCACAAACAAAAAATTATCAACTACAACCTTAATGAATAGTAGTGTGCTTGTGCTGTTCTTCAGAGAAAAAGAATACGTACTTGACGTGAATGAAGCCTTTCACATTCAGGTCAGTGTGCTACTCCAAAGCCTTGATTACAGATTGCCAACTTGTTTATCTGGAAGATTCGTAGGATTATCTCCTTCTCTTTTTCATATTGGATCTTTGCGGAAATGCCTTATGGAGGAGAAATAGTCAATGGTTTTATTCTCTTGGAGATAAAATCCATCTCTGGATTCTGTCTCTAGCTCAGACTTTTTCTGCTGATAGGTTGGGAGCTGACTGAGAATCAAATTAGTTACACCCCAGCCTGGTGCTTCAGGGTCTAGCACCATGCCATGGACTCAATGGTGAGAGCTCTCTGTAAGCCATGGTTTTTTATAACTGAATTGGGCTGGGCCACGGTGAATAAAATTAATTATTTCCCTTTTCTTACCATTTTAACTTTTTCTTATTATCAAATTCGGTAAAAATTACACAGAATGACATTGATTAGGTATCTGAAATGGTCTCTGTCCACCAGCAAAGTTTACTACATGTCTCAGATGGCGCCTAATGCAAAGTCCGTAGCCCAACTGGATAGATTTCATTAAGGCATCAAAAGTGATTTCGTCATGTTAGGCTGATGGACTCTAATGAATAAATCTCATCTAGGTTTCCAATGTAATGTCATACTCATTGAAATTGCAAATCTTAAAAAAAAATCTGCTCAAAAAATAGCTCACCATATACATGCTGCTGAAAAGCTTTCCAATGAGACTTTAGAGACATAGACAACTTTGCAGAAGCAACTTATGAAACTTTCAGTGTAATTAGTTCATTTGAGAGATAGAAAACAGATTGCTATAGTAACTAAGCATATACCCATATGAGAAAACACCCTGGAAATCTAAATAGTATGGCCCATTCAGCTCACAGCTATTTCTGTCCATTGATAGTATTTTACCTTAACAAAAGAGTCTTGCACAAAAACAAGGATTGCAAACTCCTGATTTTTAAGCCAGTACCACATAAGTTCTGACTGAACAAGTGGAAGTTCTAATAGTTTCCTGGAAATAAACAGCTGCGTGTAAGTCTGTCACTTTATTCATTGATTATGTGTAAAAAAACTTAGAGGTAGTTTAGAAAGTAGAGAAGGAGAGAAGAACTTTTTAAACTATACCTGTCTAGTCAGTGTCCTTCCTATCTTACAAAGTGATTGGAAAAATCTTCTCAGTCATAATTATAGTTGATCTAATATATCTGAAATAGAGACTGTGGTATTCATACTGGAAGAAATTTCCTAATAGAATTTCAGGCGTGATTCAACATAGAGTGCCCTACGATCTACATAGCATTGTTTCTCAATTTCATTTGTTGATCAAAATTATTCTTCATGATTTAGCCCAGACTCAGGGAAACAATGTGTTCTCTCTTCCTACTTTTTCTCTTACTTTTTATTACAACACAGAAATTTGCCAGAAAAAGTATCCTCTGGAGCTATTAGAATAATTCCTAAAATGGAAGTCAAGTACTTTCCTAGATTTGTAGCACTTGGAGACTATGAAGAGCAGAGGATGAATTGCATGTATACCCACAGCACAAAGCACACATAAAGGAGCACAAACCAAATGACTTCATTTCTGCCAAGCTCCAAAACACACACAACTAATAGATAGTCTTGTCAAGAGAGCGGTCACCTTGTGTTGAGCGGGGGAGACCTAAGTGACCATAATTGAATACCAAGGAGGCTTCCGAAAGCTGATATATGGGGTGCTTCTGGATGCAGATTTGGTTCAGCTGCATGGGTTTAATTTCTTACTCTTCATTAGGTGTTCATTTATTCTTTGATGGGCTGCATCTCAAAGAACATCACATAATAAATAAGAAAATAATTAGATCAATGAAGAATAAAGCAATGAATTCCCTATACCTAATTCTAACAGTACCTTGTAAAAGGGCTCCCGCCTCGCTGTCATCGAACCACCTCGAACTGGGCAAATACTTAGCAAAAGGACCAAGACTGAATGTGGGATCCTCTCACCTCATCACCTGTGGTTCGGTTTTATTTTGCCTGTTGTGGGATTTTGCTTTGTTATTTTCTCCCCATGTTGCTTTCCATTGTGAGCTGCACTATCCTCAGGGACCCATGCAACAGATCTCCAGTGGGAAGCGTGGGAGCCCCTCCGTGTAACATAACACCATTTGCCGTGTTGCAGGCGAGCTGTGTGAGGAAAAGCTGGACTTCTGTGCCCAGGACCTGAATCCATGCCAGCACGACTCCAAGTGCATCCTGACACCCAAGGGATTCAAGTAAGTCGGTAGCTGCCTGGCCCCAGCAGGAGGGCTGCTTTTCTTTCAGGAGTTCTCCTCTACCCTGCTGGCTGCCCATCTTTGCTCTACATTAGAGGCACCCACATCTGCCACAGAGAGTTTTCCAGATGCTCATGTGCAGCGTGGACTCATTTTAGTGCACTGAAGCAGAATAATATAAGATTTCCTATCGTTGCATGACTCGTTCAGATAAGTGACATATGGAATCAAGTAGCCTTTGAGTCAGTGATTTAAATTTACTTGAAGGCTACTCTCATTAAACTTTCAGTGTCCGCTAGGTACTTCAGATCTGAAGATAATTTGGGGGTGAGATGGAGAAATTGATTTTAATGTGAATGAAGATTCTGTGGTCCAAAACAATACTTTGACTACCCAAGATAGCAAAGATAGAGTGAACACACATCTTCATTTGTCTTCGCCAGTCCTTGTCTATGCCTCTTGTCTTATTGCAATTATTGATCGTATTCCTTTGATTTTAAATATGGCCTGCGAGATAATAAACTCTTGTGCTCCTGATGGGTAGAAGGCTTCCACAAGTGACTCAGAATGGCAAAATAATTCCTTTTTTCCACCCTAGCAATATTTCTGAAATATGTTTTGTTCCAAATTCCATGATTTTGTTATTGCAATCTTGAAATATTTCACAGGTCTTTCAACAGCAACTTCTCTTTGCAGAGATGCCAGTAGTTTAGAGAGCATCTAAGCACCAAACATCAGGGCTGAGAGTGTGAGTAGCTACCAGAGACCCCTAGGTTATTTATTGACAGAGCCAGAGCTAGGTTTGGTCATTTCCAGTTGGGTGGTTTTTCTAATACCTGTGACCTCTAAGGCATTTTATAGTATATGCACACTACGTTTTGGTTTATATAGACGGTAGGTGGGATTCACAGGCATGAAGCAGTTGGGTTCAGAAATTGAGCTGTACCTACATCAAATGATTCGAAAGCCTTTTGTTTATTCCTCCACCTGATTTCTACAGTATATCTGCTGTGGCCTGCACATGTTTTTGTATCACTTTATAGCTATTCAATTCCATATACTTGTTATGAAATGATCCAAGCTTAAGTGCCATAGGGATCAAAAAATCATAAACTACTCAGGAACAATTTTATAAGTGATAAAATTGGAGGTGGATTTCTAATATTTTGACATTTATCAAATAAATAATCAGATTTTGAATCAGGTGAAGGAGTGAAGTCAGTATTGCAAGAGCCCCATTGTCTTTCAAAGGTCAGTCCGACTTAAATATTCTCATATTATCTTTTGATGATATTGTTTTATTACAATTTGGTTTTAAAATCTAAAACTTTAGTGGAAGCAGATCCAGCTGTAACACCTGCTGATTCTATTTCATGCCTTACAGGAAAAGAGAGAGAGAGGCTTGATTTCATCTCTCATTGTGTTTAGTTCAGAGACTACTCTGAAACTAAAAGTCTTACTGTTTGTTTTACTTTCTACAAAATTATGCCTATATTTTATTCAACCAAATACTATAGGTAAGTTGTTTTAAGGTCCAATGTCTTGGATAGGCTCACTTTTAAATTTGGCAAAATGAACATGTATCATTTTAGAAAAACATTATCATTTCAGGGCCGGCCAAATAACTCAGTGAATTAAAGCACCTGCTTAGGCAGATGCAGGGGCTGGGAGTTTGATCCCTGGGTTTGCAATGCTGGCCCTGCTCCCAGAATACACTGAGATGGCGATTGAGACTGAGTGTGGTGGCTCATGCCCGTAATCCCAGCACTTGGGAAACTGTAAACAGGAGGATCACTATGAGTCCGATCTATGCAGAGAGACCCTAGAAACCCTGGACCCCCTGTCCTAAATTAAAAAGAAAAAAAGAAAAGGAAGGAAGGAAGGAAGGAAGGAAGGAAGGAAGGGAAAAAGAAAAGCAAGAAAGAAAAAGAAAAGAAAAAAAACATCATTTCTAAGGGAAATTAGAAGGCATATTTTTTTTTAGAATTGCTACCTGGTAAGCAAATTTTACACAGCTTTCTGCATTGTAATTATAGGATAAAGTATTAGTAAGACTGAATAGAAACCATTAAAAATAAGAGACTTTATTTTAAAAAGAAGGCCAATTCTTAATTAAAAATCTTCTATTGCTATCAATTAGATTGCACAGTCTTAACTGCATTTTGCTGTAATGTGGATTAACTTATTGAAAATTCACAGTTTTGAGCAATCATTAATTCAGGAGCTCAATTTTATAGCTATCTGCAATTTAGCTGAAAAACAGGTTAATTCAGAATGCTTGCTGTTGCTGTTATAAATAATTGCACATTGTGGATAACATTGGTGCAGGGAGAAAATAGACTTAAAAACCAAAATAGATGAAGCTAGTAAAATAAAAAATAAAAACCTCTACGAATAATGTTGTTTGAACATGTTATAGTCCTACTTCAACTTCATTTTCTCCCTAGTAAACTAACCACGAGTTCTACTTTTCTTGCTTTATTGTGTACCTCATAAATCTCTTAAATCACTTTGAGATATTTTAAGACAAGATATGCCATAAGCAGTATTTTTAGGCATGTGTCTTAGTCAGCGTTTGGGCTTCTAAATGGTTTAGTTTATATTCTTTATTCTTTTCTTCACTCCTTGTCAGATAGAAAAGTAGATAGAATGTGATCGGTTTTACTCATAATACAATCTTCGAGAAATTCTTATTTACAATTTGTCTTTCCCTTTTGAAGCTTGGAGTGAGGAACAAAAGAAAGACACAAATGTTAGTGGTGCTATCACTGTGAGTTCTAATGCACTTCAAAAACAGCATTTGGAAAGGAGAGAATATAAATGCCTCTTATACAGCCACTGTGGCGAAGGCATGGTTCTATTATCCTTCACTTTGATTTCTTTTCTCAGATAAATAATTCAGAATGTTTCAAAGCATTTCTTCTTTCCTTTAATGCTTGGCACTTGGGCTGCTCCGTGCACATTACCATTGATGGAAGTTCTCTTCCAGGCCCCTGTCCACCTCCTCAAGAATCTGGATGGCCACTTAGGGTCCATTTAACTTCACACTTGTTGTTTACTTTTTTTATTATGATTTAGCATTAAAACAAACTGGCTGCAGTGCAAGCACACTTATGCTGTGTGCTCATTTTATTTCTTAATACATGTGTTCAAGCTGTATATCTGTTACTATTGGGGGTGTGTACTCCTATTTGTTTTAATTCATTGGCTCTCCACTAACTCTTGATTCCTTATTCCACATTTTGCAAAAAAAAAAAAAATCTTGGCATTCAGTAATACTACATTCATTTGGGTGTTTTTACTTATGCTTGCTTAAATTCTATTTTTGAAATAGAATAATGGATAATTACTACAGAATAAACCATAAAGACTTCACAGAATTATAGATACACATAGAATTATAAAAAATATAAGCCACTTACTGACTATGCATTGTATCTAAATACTGTACCAAGGCCTTTTTTGCCTGAGTTTTTATTGAATATTTAAACATTTTGAGATGAAAATTATTATATGCATGATACAAAGTATTATAGGAACACTTGTTAGATCAAGTAATGTAGTCAATTTTATATTAATTGAAATAAACCGGATATAGGAGAAAAATACTACCTGATCTCACCTAGTTGTGGAACTTTTAAAATTTTACATCATAGAAATGGAAAGTAGACTGTTGGTTACTTTGGTTTGGTTGTAAGGAAAATGGAGAGATGTTGGTTACAGGTATTAGATGTCAGCTATAGATGAGAAGTTTCAGAAGACCCAAGGTCTATGCCCTGCTGACTGTAGTTCACGGCCCCACATGCCACACTTGACACTTCCTGAAAGAGTGCATCTGATGTACTTACCACCCTAAGCGAAAGATAGCTCTGTGAAATAGCAGATATATTACTTTATTATGGTAGTGTTTCACACTGCACATACTCATCAAACCTTCTGTTGTACATCTTGAACTTACAATTTCTACCCGCTAATTGTATCTCAGTGTACAAAAGGGAAGGAGACTTAGAGATGGAAGGAGAGGAAGGGAGGGCGAGAAGATAGAAAAACAACGAGCACGTGTTGGGTGCAAGTGTCAGCTCCCCAGGAGCGACGTAATCACTACTGCTGTCAACATCTCCAACAGAAAGGCTTTTAAGAACTGGAAAAATATATAGCTGGTATTACAAGTAAAATAATAATGTTCATTGAAGAATCCGTTTTATTATAAGAATAATCTTTTTATTATAAATAGAGTTCTATGTAACCATGAAGTACTTATTCTATGGAGCCAAACCATAGTTTTCTGGGTTATGGGTGTTTTAAATTCAGGTACTTTCTCCTATATCAAAAGCAAAAGCACTCATGGGAACCCAGTGTATAAAAATATATCACATCAGAAGAGAAGAGGTCAAATTGGAGACAGAAAGGCTTACTGAACCTCTCTACACCTATGACCATAACTGCAGGCATGCACAGTTCCTTTCCCTGGGTGTACAACACTCACAGTACTGCACTGTATACTTAACCACAGAGGAACCTCGAGGCTCCATTGGATGTTTGAAACCCCTGAGAGTAAGGCTGTGTGTGTGTGTGTGTGTGTGTGTGTGTGTGTGTGTGTGTATTTTCCATATTTTTCTATATACCATTTTTCTTCTCTATATATTCATACCTATGATAAATTTGATTTTATGATTAAGGCTCAGAAAGAGATTAACAAAAATTAGAAATCCAAAAATTGGAAACAAAACCAAAAATAAAAAAGAAAGATTAACAAAATAACTAATGATGAATTGAATACTTATAGCAATATACCACAGTAGCAGTCATGTGAATGGAATCTCTCTCCCTCTCTAAATATCTCACGGTGCGCCTCCTACCCATCTTCTTGAGCTAATATGAGAGAATACAGTGCCTGGAAGGTGATTTAATGTTGGGTGAAGGATGCACGCGCTATGACATAGTATTAGGCTATAACATGAAGGTTATGTAGCACAAACAGTGCATATCAATCACTTTCCCATTGCTTGCACAAAAATCCATGGCACCCACAATTTCAAAGAAGAGAAGTGTATTTTGGCTCACAAGTTTCGGAAGACCTGGGCCATGGTCACTCAGCTCTAAGACAGAAGCCCCATAGTGGAAGGGCTGGTAGATAAACTCTCCTCCACTCACGGCAAAGAGCTGGGAAAAGGGAAGGACTCAGAAAGAAAAGCAAGGACTCATAAAGCAAGAACAGCTTTCAGAACACTCACTGAATCCCCACAACTAGGCCCCACCTGGAATGTGAGAGTATGGGGGACATTTTGCATTCAAGCTACACAGTTACTAAGTTACTACTACATGGGTGGCCTGCACAGCATGGCTACACAGGGCAAGAATGCCTTCCATTCAGAGCAGGAAGGACTAGGACTGAGCAGGATTTCATAACTAACAGTGCTGCCCAGTTAAAAGCTTATGATTGGTTCTTTCTTCAATTTCCAATTTAGTGTTTTTGACCACAGGTAGTTTAAACTGTAGAAAGTGTGCGTGTGGGGTACAGTACCTGAAAACTGCTACATGCACCCTATTCGTTTTCCTCAGGCAATTACAAAGTCTTGGATCTTTGATGGCATACTTGGGAAATGGGCAGCATTTGAGAAAGACACGTATGAAAGGAACTCTTGTGAAACTGTTTGTCCATCATAGTGCATTAGCTAGGAAATCCAGGCTTCCTTGTCAAACTGCTTGGGCTCAGTTCCTGCCTACAGTAACTAGTAGCTGAGTATCCTCTACAAGGCGCTTCCTCTTTCTTCTTTGCTGCATTCACCTGTACAGCAGGTGTAAGGGCATCATCAATGTCACTGGGCTTCAGGGCAAGCAAGGAACCCATAAGGGCCAAGCAGCTGAACCAGGGTCCAGCCCAGAGGAAAGGCTCAAGGAACATCAGCAGCCTCCTTCCCCTTCGGCATCAGCGCAGCTGTGTCTGGTCTACCTCTTCTGCCTGAAAGTGATCTGCTAAAAAGCCGATGGTGGAACTGGCTCCAGGAATTCTGCATCACATCCCTTACTCCAACTCCTCAGGCCAGTCCTTAGCTGCCAAAATCATCACCTGGACTCACTGAGAGTGAATTTATCTCATTTATTAATGAATCTGATATTGTCGTATTTTTGTCCTAGTACATCTAGACACTACAGGAAAACTTAAATGTAAATCTTTTTTAAAGTATTCTTCCTATTCTTAATCATTTGATAGCACGGCCCTTGAGTCATCCCTACAGTCAAGTGAAATGGCAGAGCTGAAGAGAGTTTACTACAAGCAAAATGAGAAGAAGGGGAGGGAAGGAGGGAGAGGGAGACAGGGAGTAGGGGAAATCCTGCTTGCAACATTCTGTCATGATTTTGACAATGGACTTCAAGTATCAAAAAGAAACTCAGGACCAAAAAGCTAAAGACAGTAATCCCCTGACCTCTGTAAAAACCATGCCATACTTCGCTGTTTTCTAGACACCCATTAACTTGGGGAGGAAGCCATTCTAGATCAGAATATTTTTAGAAAACTCATGTCATTGTTTCTCAATGAAACTCAGCTGTTAATGATCTGAGTCACATTTGAAATTTTACCCGCTTGTTCAAACAGGTGTGACTGCACCCCGGGTTACATTGGTGAGCACTGTGACACGGACTTTGATGACTGCCAAGACAACAAGTGTAAGAACGGTGCCCGTTGCACAGACGCAGTGAATGGCTACACGTGCATCTGCCCTGAAGGTTACAGGTAAAACAGGAGGACACACTTATATTTAGAATTAAGACTTCCAAGACTCAAATCTCATAAACGCTGACATGTTTTCCTTGTTTCCTCTTTGGTCTTCAGTGGCTTATTCTGTGAGTTTGCTCCACCCATGGTGCTCCCTCGGACCAGCCCCTGTGATAATTTTGATTGCCAGAATGGAGCTCAGTGCATCGTCAGGGTCAACGAGCCAGTGTGTCAGTGTTTGCCTGGCTACCAAGGCGAGAAGTGTGAAAAATTGGTCAGTGTGAATTTTGTGAACAAAGAGTCCTATCTGCAAATTCCTTCAGCCAAGGTCCAGCCGCAGACGAACATTACTTTTCAGGTGAGAGGTGCCTACCCAGCAAGGGCTGATCTTACCAGTGACCAACTTCAGCGTGGAAGAGGGAACAACATCTGGGGCAGCCTGTGAATGACAGTGTTCTTTAAATAACCAGTTAGCAACTGGCTGGCCTAATCAGAGAAACTGCTCCTTGTGTGAGTAGCTTCAGTAATTTTGGTCTCAGTACTTTTATTCACTACCAGATTCTGAGGTGAAAAAAAAACCTACAGAAACAAAGTATATATCTCCTTTTCATGCCTGAGTGGAAATATTTATCCATTCATTTTAAGGCTCTGTAGTGGGGTCTCTGAGATTTTTCTTAGAAGATCCACAACTAAGTAGGAAAAAAGTGAGGTAGGACAGCTGCATTCATCCGGGACCTGTTTCCTTGTTTATCCAGAAACTTGCAGAATTGACAGGAAATCCACAACCTTCAGTTCTGAGTTTTTCTCCCAAGATATTCTTTGAACAAGTCTTCAAACTCTTAGGAAAGAGGTTCTACTATACCTGTAGTGATAAATGTAGCAGATATGGGACAAGTCATGGCTACTCATTTGCCTGAGAATCAAGCATTTAGTATGTTTTTGAATTCAAATGACTTCAGGAAGTTTACTATAGACACCACAGCTTATTTGCTTATGTAGACTTTCCAGGGAGGCATGAGGCTTGCTTGGAAGTCTTAGGGCCTGGGTCTGCTGGAGCAGTCCCTCCTTAGAATATCTGTCTTCTTTCCTCCACTTTCCAATGTCTGTCATAGTGGATATTTTCAGGACACACAGAGTGCTGTGGGCCTTTAAATTCTTACTTTCACATAACACGTCCTTTAAAAACCTAAAAGAATGATAGCAGTATAAAAGAAAGATTTTCCTCCTACACATGGCATTAATATGAGAAATTTTAACATAGAATATGAAAATCAAACTTGTTCCATGTAGATACATTTAAGACATGCCAAAAAATAAGGTTCATAGCAGGAGCCAAAAGAACAGTGAAAAGTCTCCAGTGAAGAAAGCTCTGAGCATGACCAACATGTCCACACAAATCCTTTTTATTCTTTATCAATTTATTTATTTATTTTTATTTTTATGTATTTAGTACAGGGTCTACAGGATCTCACTACACAGATCAGACTTGTAGTGATCCTTCCTGTTTTTCAGCCTCCCAAGTGCTGGGATTATAGGTGTGCACCACCACACCCAGTCTCAATAGTGCCACAGAGCACCCCGGGGGCAGGACCAGCACAACAGGCCAGCGATCTAATCCCCAGCCCCTGTGTCTGCCTAAGCAGGTGCTTTAATCCACTGAGCTATCTGGTGGGCCCAAGCTATCTGGCCAGAACTCCTTTTCAATATTTTTTTTTTCCTTCTCAATTTTTACGAGTCTGTCCAGTCACTCTCCAAGCAGGATTTTCAGGATACATTGTTTTCTCATGCCATAAGCAAAAGTGTAAGCCAAAGTAAAAACTCCTCATCATGCTTAGCGTCTTTGCTTCTTGGTAAGCTGTTTGGTTGCTATGACTCCCAGTAATGTGAAGGCTTCCTTCCACCAGATTGCCACGGACGAAGACAGTGGCATACTCCTCTACAAAGGTGACAAAGACCACATTGCGGTGGAACTCTACCGAGGACGAGTTCGTGCCAGCTACGACACTGGTTCTCACCCAGCTTCTGCCATTTACAGGTGAAGATCTCTCAGTTACTTGTAAAGGTGAAAAAACTGTTCAATGAAGAACTGCTTCTTCTCTATGATTTCGCAGTGAGAAGAGGAGAGAATAGTCTGGCTGTAGCATGTGTCTCAGTCTGCTTTGTGCTGCTGTGATAGAACACTTCACGTTGAGTCATTTATAAGGAACAGATATGTTTTTGATTAATTTCTGACAATTCTAGAGGCTGGCCAGTCCAGGGCCAAGAGTACACATCTATCAAGGGATTTGGGGTACATCAACCCATGGCAGAGGGCAGAAAGGCAAGACACGTGCACAGGGGCCAAAGTCAGCCTTTTATTCATGAACACACCCCCACGGTATCTAACCCACTCCTTCAATACCTGCATCAGTGCATTGAGAGCCCTCATAAACTACTCTTTTTTTTTTTTTTTTGTGGCTGGCTCAGCCCACCCTGGGGTCAGGGCTAGGATTGAAACAAGGTCCCTGAATGCTTGCCTAAACAGGTGCTTTAGACCACTGAGCTATCTCATTGGGCCTCTACTCATTTCTTAAAGGTCCCAGTAGTCAACATTGCTGCAGTGGGTCAAGTTCCCAGCACACGACTGTCACAGGACACATTCAAACCTTAGCAGCAAGGTGTATGGTAGCCTCAGTACTAACTCCAATTCTCTAACCAGGAAGAATCTTCAATGAATGAGGCAAAACAAGCACATGGAAAGAATATGCTCTTACATTCTTATTTTTTAAAAGATGTAACTTTTGAGATAAGTAATCCTTTATTACAAATGCCCTTGGCACAGGCAGTGAAACAGGAGTGGTTTTGACTATAGCAAGCCAAAAGCAAATCATTGTCAAATCAAGACTCAGCTCTTTCATGCTTCCATGTGGAAATAGGGGTTCAGGTTTTACCAGGTGACTGGCTTTTCCAGGACAGGCATACATTTGTGAGTATTTCTTTTACATATAAAGCTTTCTTTTAATATTGCTTTGTATTCTTAATACCATATATGTGTGAAAACATCGAAGCCCAACACATTGGCAACAAGAAGCTAGACAGCAAGACTGGCTTAAAATGGAACTAAAGACCTACGTCTCATTGACATTATTCTTGCATATCTGACTTTTATTTCAGATTCTTACTTTTTACTGGACCTTTTATAAGTGGGTCTGGAATAGATAGATATTGTAGCAATGTAGATAGCAATTGTAGCCATGAGTGGAATATGGTAAGTCCACTTTGGTGAATTAACCCTTACAGGACTATTACAGAATGGAAACAGACACATGATTATTGGTTTCCAAGTGGAATATAATAGTTACTTAATCTCCAAATGGTTAGGATCTAGTGTCAAAACTTTAAGCACTAGTAGGCCTTGAATTATATGTGGGTTCGATCTGTTTCAGCCCATAAAAAGATTTCATAAATCTTTGGTTCCTTTTTACTTCTTTGTGAGAATGAAGTGGCGTGAAGTGCCCAGAAACCTTGGTGGAGGATTGTGGTTTTGCCTGTTAAAGCTGCCGTCCACATAAAATACCTTGGAGATATTTGTACATAAACCACAGACACCTAAGTGATTATACCCAAACAAGAAACAGTTTTGGAGGTGGTTTTATGATCATTGCCATCTTTGCCTTACAAAAATTGAATACACCCTCCCGGTGACTTTTATAAAAAGTGTGTGATGTTGAATCCTCTTTATTAGAAATGAGAAGTCCGTGTTTTTGCTGGAAAATCTTGTAATTGAGGCATATTTTATGAGGCTTAGGGCAAACTTAACTTTAATTTTTTGCCTGACTGCATGACACAACATTTAGGGAAAGCTACTGCCTGTCCTTTTAGTAAAAGAAAAAGAGCAGGTTAGGAAGAAAGCTTGGTGGTCTAAGAGCCTGCAGGGCAAGCACAAGGATCCAGTTCAATCCCTGGTACCACATGCTGTGCTGAGCCGGGACCCACAGGTGTACCATGCCGGCCACCAAACCCGGGCGCGGTGGTGCCCGCCTGGAATCCTAGTGCTGTGGAGGCTGAGACAGGAGGATCACTAAAAGCCTGAGGTGTGTAGCAAGACCCCATACCAAGTAAATAAAAATATTTTTAAAAAGAAAGGAAGAAATTATGAATAATTCATAGGCAGATTTCTATAACATGATATGAATGTATGTTAGCTGTATATTGTATTAAATTAGCTATCGATATACTAACAAAAAAGAAAAGAAGCAAGGAAAGTAGAAGAAAGAGCAAAGAAACAGTGAAAGGGTAGGAGTGCAGGGATGCAGGGAAAAGTGCATGTAGGCATGGAAAGACTCGCAAAGTACCTTTCTCAGTTAAAAAGAAACGTAAAGCTAAGCAGTATCAAGGAAAGAGACAAATACAAGAATGCATATTTTCATGCAATTTCATAAAGAAAAGCTGGGCATGGAGAAGAAAGAATGCGGTAGAAGCAAGGCTTCGGCATGAACACCAGCTGACACCCTTCCGATCGGGCTGCTTGAACGTCATGACTGCCTCCCAAGAAAGTAAATACCGAGGGAAAAGGGCCGGTGCCGCTCGTCAGTCTGCCTGGGTCCGAGTCCCAGCTCTGCCACCCTCAGCTGTGCTCTTTGGGCAGGTCGCATCGCTCTCTGGCCCTCAGATGATGAATGCAAATAACAAAATAATGTCATATTTAAGGAATTACAGTGGCAGTTTTATTATTTGATGCATTTTATTGTTTGTTACTTGTAATACTTACAGAACAGCGCATGGAAAACACTGACTAGCGACAGCAACTGGTTTCGCAAATTCAGTGTGTTTAAAACAGTTCCCTTCACTTACCTCATAAAAACGAGTCCTATCACATTGTTCAGTCATTAAAGAAGGCATCCGTGGTGTCTTGGGCATCGCAGGTGGACAGGATTCACCCATAATTTCTTTCTTCTAACATATTCAGTTTGCCAGTTGGATCAAGCCTCAACTCGGCGTGGGCTGGTTTTCTGGCTTCAGTCCAAATTTTAGAAAACGTCAGGGTCTCTACGCTTGCTCAGTATTTGCAGACTGAAATCTTGGGTGAAAGGTACCCTTTCTTGGTCACTATAAGATCCATCAGGGACACAGTTGCCACTGGATTTCCCAAAAGTTACTTAGTAAATATTCAGTTTGGTCGAATTAAAATCTTTAATCATGATTTGTTTCAATTTATACAGCATTTTCAGAACTGCAGCATACTGATGTTTTAAATGAGAATATTTTATATATATATATTTTTTTTCACAAAACTTGTCCAGCTTAAGCCCAGTTTCATTGCCATGACTTGGTATGTTAAAAATTGGCTTTGAACCAGGGGCAGGGGAGATGGCTCAGTGGAATAGGCACTTCCCTGGCAAGCACAAGGGTCTGAGTTCAATCCCCGGTTCCACCAAAAGAAAACAAAACAAAAAAAACAAAAATTGGCTTTGATAAAGCCCTGGAATGCTTTCCTGAGTGTGCTTATTGAGTGTACAATAAAAATATTGTACATTAGTGTAGTTTAGCAATGCCTGTGTACTTTTAAACCTTAAGGAAATAGATTTTATTTAGTAAAATTTAATCTGGTAAGTCATGAGTAAGCAATCCTACATTAATTTATTGTTTCTCTTGGATATTTTTCAACAACTTCATTTTTAAACAGCTTAAATAACTAGTACTGGGTACTAGTTAGTGTTTAAAATAAATCAGTATGAGAAAAATTATTTAATGGATTTGTTTCTGGAGTGGTAATTTGCAGTCCTTGAGAGTGACTTCATTTTATTAGGTAAGGGCCACACTTTTCAATAAAGTGATTAATGTAAGATCCATGCCTCTTGCTTTAGATTCAAACTAACACCCCTTCTGAGCCAGATAACTTCTCTGGAGTCTAAGATACTGTTTAAAAATTAGGACAGTAATGAAACACAGTTTTAAGTGTATTTTAAAAACTGCAAGATACAGTGATTATTCTGTTAGCAGCGGAACTGAAGTTGCATGCACATTTGCTTATTTTATATCTTACACCCTTGTGGAAGACGGTGGCTTCGCTTACACCCACGGACAGCTCCCTGCACTAGGCATGCAGGCAGGGCACAGAGCACTGAGCTGTGCACCCCGCAGGTTTCTCTTTTTTTTTTTTGGGGGGGGGAGGGGATATTAATTTTATTGAGAAAAAAGTAGCAATGAGATAGTTTCAAAACAGATTAGTAGGACAGTTACAATAATTAATACTTCCTTGGTGTCAGCTGGAAAGCCGCGGCCTTGGGAGCTTCTCCCCCGCAGAGACCCGCCGCTGCTCCAGAGCTGTGCTCCTTTTTGATTCCCAAAGAGCAGCCCAGAAGCATTTGTCTACACCCCGCAGCATAAAGGGCTCTGATTAGCACCAACAGGAGTAAAAGGAGCTGTCGAACAGTTGAGTGAGTGCGGAACGTGCCTGAATTGTACAGCAAGTAGAGAGAAGCGTAAGGAGATGCAGAAACAGTGCTGCGAATGCCTGCATGGAGGGCTGTCTAAGCCCGAAGTTAACATGCGGCCTGTGTCCTCAGTCATGGAGGAGTAATTTATAGGGGTTTTTTCTCAAGAAGGCTGATAATTTATGGCAGGGTTCTGAGGAGAGAAGGAAGGAAGGAAGGAAGGAAGGAAGGAAGGAAGGAAGGAAGGAAGGAAGGAAGGAAGGCAGGCAGGCAAACTTTGACAGAGACAGCCTCTGTTCCTGCACTACTAGGTGCCACTGGGGAGACCAACAGTGAACAGAATGTAAAAGACAGTCTTTAAGAAGAATGTGAGTCACATTCAGCCACTGTGATCTGCCCTCTGGGAGTCACCACTATTTGCTTCATAATCTTGGGCAGGTGGCTTCACCTCTTGACGCCTCAGTTTCCTCATCTCAACAGTGGAATCTCCACACAGTGGCTCTAAGAACTAAAAGGAACAAATCCAAAACAACTCACCCTGTGCTTACAGCTGGTTCTGGGTCACTGGACGTGCTGGTGACTTGAGTGGTCTCATGCTCTGACTCCGAAGTTCTATTGA